GTCCCTTGTCTTTATGTTCCTTCACCTGTCCCTTGTCTTTATGTTCCTTCACCTGTCCCTTGTCTTTATGTTCCTTCACCTGTCCCTTGTCTTTATGTTCCTTCACCTGTCCCTTGTCTTTATGTTCCTTCACCTGTCCCTTGTCTTTATGTTCCTTCACCTGTCCCTTGTCTTTATGTTCCTTCACCTGTCCCATGTCTTTATGTTCCTTCACCTGTCCCTTGTCTTTATGTTCCTTCACCTGTCCCTTGTCTTTATGTTCCTTCACCTGTCCCTTGTCTTTATGTTCCTTCACCTGTCCCTTGTCTTTATGTTCCTTCACCTGTCCCATGTCTTTATGTTCCTTCACCTGTCCCTTGTCTTTATGTTCCTTCACCTGTCCCTTGTCTTTATGTTCCTTCACCTGTCCCTTGTCTTTATGTTCCTTCACCTGTCCCTTGTCTTTATGTTCCTTCACCTGTCCCTTGTCTTTATGTTCCTTCACCTGTCCCTTGTCTTTATGTTCCTTCACCTGTCCCTTGTCTTTATGTTCCTTCACCTGTCCCTTGTCTTTATGTTCCTTCACCTGTCCCTTGTCTTTATGTTCCTTCACCTGTCCCTTGTCTTTATGTTCCTTCACCTGTCCCTTGTCTTTATGTTCCTTCACCTGTCCCTTGTCTTTATGTTCCTTCACCTGTCCCTTGTCTTTATGTTCCTTCACCTGCCCCTTGTCTTTCTGTTCCTTCACCTGTCCCTTGTCTTTATGTTCCTTCACCTGTCCCTTGTCTTTATGTTCCTTCACCTGCCCCTTGTCTTTCTGTTCCTTCACCTGTCCCTTGTCTTTATGTTCCTTCACCTGTCCCTTGTCTTTATGTTCCTTCACCTGCCCCTTGTCTTTATGTTCCTTCACCTGCCCCTTGTCTTTATGTTCCTTCACCTGTCCCTTGTCTTTATGTTCCTTCACCTCCCCCTTGTCTTTATGTTCCTTCACCTGCCCCTTGTCTTTATGTTCCTTCACCTGCCCCTTGTCTTTATGTTCCTTCACCTGCCCCTTGTCTTTATGTTCCTTCACCTGTCCCTTGTCTTTATGTTCCTTCACCTGTCCCTTGTCTTTATGTTCCTTCACCTGTCCCTTGTCTTTATGTTCCTTCACCTGCCCCTTGTCTTTATGTTCCTTCACCTGCCCCTTGTCTTTATGTTCCTTCACCTGCCCCTTGTCTTTATGTTCCTTCACCTGCCCCTTGTCTTTATGTTCCTTCACCTGCCCCTTGTCTTTATGTTCCTTCACCTGCCCCTTGTCTTTATGTTCCTTCACCTGTCCCTTGTCTTTATGTTCCTTCACCTGTCCCATGTCTTTATGTTCCTTCACCTGTCCCTTGTCTTTATGTTCCTTCACCTGTCCCTTGTCTTTATGTTCCTTCACCTGTCTCTTGTCTTTATGTTCCTTCACCTGTCCCTTGTCTTTATGTTCCTTCACCTGTCTCTTGTCTTTATGTTCCTTCACCTGTCCCTTGTCTTTATGTTCCTTCACCTGTCCCATGTCTTTATGTTCCTTCACCTGTCCCTTGTCTTTATGTTCCTTCACCTGTCTCTTGTCTTTATGTTCCTTCACCTGTCCCTTGTCTTTATGTTCATTCACCTGTCCCTTGTCTTTATGTTCCTTCACCTGTCCCTTGTCTTTATGTTCCTTCACCTGTCCCTTGTCTTTATGTTCCTTCACCTGTCCCTTGTCTTTATGTTCCTTCACCTGTCCCTTGTCTTTATGTTCCTTCACCTGTCCCTTGTCTTTATGTTCCTTCACCTGTCCCTTGTCTTTATGTTCCTTCACCTGTCCCTTGTCTTTATGTTCCTTCACCTGTCCCTTGTCTTTACGTTCCTTCACCTGTCCCTTGACGTCATCTTCCTTCACGTGTCACCACCCCGTCACCTCAAATAATCTTGCACTTTACCTCTGTATTCTCAAGAACATGTCATGTAAGAGAACAGGTAAATCTTGCTAATGTTTTATAGTCTTAGTTCTGTAATATATCCTTAACGAGGCCTAGTCTGAGACCGAGCCTCGGGGGCGATGACCCCTCTTCCACTATATATATATATATATATATATATATATATATATATATATATATATATATATATATATTATATATATATATATATATATATCAACAAACCGGCCGTATCCCACCAAGGCAGGGTGGCCCAAAAAGAAAAACAAAAGTTTCTCTTTTTACATTTAGTAATATATAGAGGAGAAGGGGTTACTAGCCCCTTGTTCCCGGCATTTTAGTCGCCTCTTACAACACACATCGCTTACGGAGGAAGAATTCTGTTCCACTTCCCCATGGAGATAAGAGGAAATAAACAAGAATAAGAACTAGTAAGAAAATAGAAGAAAACCCAGAGGGGGCGTGTATATATATGTTTGTACATGTATGTGTAGTGTGACCTAAGTGTAAGTAGAAGTAGCAAGACGTACCTGAAATCTTGCATGTTTATGAGACAGAAAAAAAAAGACACCAGCAATCCTACCATCATGTAAAACAATTACAGGCTTTTGTTTTACACTCACTTGGCAGGATGGTAGTACCTCCCTGGGTGGTTGCTGTTTACCAACCTACTACCTACAATGTATATATATATATATATATATATATATATATATATATATATATATATATATATATATATATATATATATATATATATATATATATATATATAATGCAAAAACAATCACGAGCTGAACGAATCTACCTGGACTTCCTACTCATTTCTGAAACATGCAAGCTCCTGAAAATATGTTGATTACAGCACGAAAGGCTATCATTCATCCCCCTCTGTGGTTGTTTTTGCAGCTTGTATCACTTGTTCACTATTATTGCATATATATATATATTATATATATATATATATATATATATATATATATATATATATATATATATATATATATATATATATATATATATATATATATATATATGAAGGAGGGGTGTTAATGTTGCAGTTTAAAAACTGGAGTGTAAAGCACCCTTCTGGCAAGACAGTGATGGAGTGAATGATGGTGAAAGTTTTTCTTTTTCGGGCCACCCTGCCTACGGTGGGAATCTGCCAGTGTGATAATAAAAATAAAAAATAATATATATTATATATATATATATATATATATATATATTATATATATATATATATATATATATATATATATATATATATATATATATATATATATATCAGCATAGTTGCTGATCCCCTGTATATGTATATGTTATCTGAGTATCATAGTACCATCCATATGTTTTACATAGTTGACCCCTTGCTAGGCTCAGTGACTAGCTTGTCTGACGTCACATGATGCCGCATGAGAGCGCAGCGCTCCCGGCCTCGTCCTCACTCCAACCATAGGTCTACGAGAAAGCAACACAGGCAGTCTGGGCTGCCCTCTTACACTCTGCTAATATAAGTGTTACCATCCAACAAGTGTGTTTAACTCCAACCATCACATCTCCACGAACCCTCCCAACATATATATATATATATATATATATATATATATATATATATATATATATATATATATATATATATATATATATATATATATATATATATGCAATAAGATCACAGTAAACAGGTGATTTCAAAATATGCAAAACAACCACTCTGAAAAAATAGAGAAATTCCAAGCGCTTTCGTGACTACTCACTTTCATAGTTCCTTGATAATGTGAGTAGTCACGAAAGCGCTTGGAATTTCTCTATTTTTTCAGAGTGGTTGTTTTGCATATATATAATATTATATATATATATATATATATATATATATATATATATATATATATATATATATATATATATATATATATATATATAATGTCGTGCCGAATATGTAAAACTGGTCAGTTAGCAAGAACTCATTTAAAATTAAGTCCTTTCTGAAATTTTCTCTTGTACGTTTAAAGATATTTTTTTTCATTAATGTTAATGTAAAAAACTTTAATTTTGCACCAAAAGAATCTTAGAAAACTTACCTAACCTTATTATAACAAGAACAATTTATTTTAGCCTAACCCAACTAAATATATTTTAGACTTGTCTACAATAATTTAATACTAAACAAACACAGTGAAATATATTTTTTTCGTTAGGTTCAGAATGATTTTGGCGACATTATTGCATACACAAATTTTCACTTGTCCTATGTGGCAAGATGAGCGTTGCTATTTAATCCAAGATCGCAAGTTTTGCCTATTCGGCACGACATCTGTTGGAGTGTGAGCAGGGTAATATTTAGTGAAGGGATTCAGGGAAACCGGTTATTTTCATATAGTCGGACTTGAGTCCTGGAAATGGGAAGTACAATGCCTGCACTTTAAAGGAGGGGTTTGGGATATTGGCAGTTTGGAGGGATATGTTGTGTATCTTTATATGTGTATGCTTCTAGACTGTTGTATTCTGAGCACCTCTGCAAAAACAGTGATTATGTGTGAGTGTGGTGAAAGTGTTGAATGATGAAAGCATTTTCTTTTTGGGGATTTTCTTTCTTTTTTGGGTCACCCTGCCTCGGTGGGAGACGGCCAACTTGTTGATATATATATATATATATATATATATATATATATATATATATATATATATATATATATATATGTATGTATATATATATATATATATATATATATATATATATATATATATATATATATATATATATATATATATATATATATATGCAAGGAATTCGCAAGAGCAGGCGAAATATACACAAACACTGATCTCTGGCAATTGGTCCAGTGTGGTGAGGATGGTAAAGCACTGCGTACCTTGTTCCAAGGTTCGTAGGTTCGAGCCAGAGATCAGTGTTTGTGTGTGTATAATATATATATATATATATATTATATATATATATATATATATATATATATATATATATATGTGTGTGTGTGTGTGTGTGTGTGTGTGTGTGTGTGTTATCTGCTAGCAATAATAATAATTTAACACTGTGTTCGTGTATTACAGACGTCAAGAGGCGGTCCGCGGCTCATCTCAATCAGCAGGAGTGACCAAGGCTTTGGTTTCACCCTCCGTCATTTCATCGTCTACCCTCCGGAGTTGTCGGTAAGAGCAAGTCGTGGCCACAAGCATCCCTGGGGCCAGGTGAGGTGATTGGAGGTGGAGATCTACCTGTAATTTACTTATACACGAAACTGGTTTTTGCTGGTTTTTATAGGTATTGGGAAGAACTATAAATCACTCGTAGGTTTTTTAGCTGGGAAATTCCAGCGCCATCACATGTGGCCTTTTAGTGGGAGAAAAATGTGTTTTAAATTACCTGCAGAGGACACAAATCATAGTAATTTACATTTTGTTAAAACATGTTTATTATTAAACGCCTGATAGATATTTAATGCCTTATTTTTAAAGAGAGTGAGAGAGAGAGAGAGAGAGAGAGAGAGAGAGAGAGAGAGAGTATCCTTCACTGTCAGTATATAATAAAGCCTTCAGATCAGCCTAGTTTGGCTGTCATTACCGCCATGCCACTAGCAACAGGTACAAGGTTCGGAGGAGGTACACAAGGCCTCTCACCATCTGTTATATGAACCTCCACACGTAAGGTAAGCAGACGAATCCCGAAACCAGGTCGTGTCTTGATGGGGGGCAGACAGAAAGAAAACTAGCATCAGGAATGCTCTTCAAAACATGGCGATGTCATCGGTTCTTGGTCGTCTGAGGAAATTATTCCATAAGTCGGCAGTACCCAATCAGCCGGGTTATGGTTCGTACGTTGTACTACATGCGGACAACAGTAACAGCCTGGATGATCAGGTTATGATACACCTGGAGGCCTGGTCAAGGACTGGGCTGACCCCCAGAACATCCTCCAGGTAGACAGGATGGAACTGTCTACCAGCAATCAAGAAAAACCTAACCTGCACATGACTGGTATACAGTACCGACAAGATGAAAATTAGACACATGTCTTCCAATTATGTCCTAGAATTTTGTATTGATAAAGCCACTGGATGGCGAAACGTCTACAATAACGATATGCAGATGTTGCATATGTGTCTAATTTTCATGTAAAAGCTAACCTACGTGCTGAACATTCTGCTGCTAAGATGTAAGTTCCAGATGCAGTTAAGGAACCTCTGATGTTACCTGCAAGAAGTGTCTAAGTTGTCAGAGGTGACAATACTAGGTACAGTGGAACCTCGGTACTCGAACTTAATTCGTTCCAGAAGGCTATTCGAGTATGGAGCTGTTCGAGTACCGAGGTTCCACTGTATATCTCCTCCTCAAATCCCTGGATCAAGAAAAGGCTAAATAACTGTGAGCATCACCTCTAGCTCGCATTGGATAGATTTAGAAAGGATATAGGAAAGTGCTGGTTTGGAAATAATGTAGTCGATGAGTGGAACAGTCTACGTAGTAGGGTTATTGAAGCTAAAACCTTGGGTAGCTTCAAATATAGGTTAGATAAATATATGAGTGAGAGAAGTCAGATTTGAGTGGGACTTACACTCGAATTAATTGGGTTATCAAAGCTTATTCTTTGGGTAACATCGATATAATAGGCTGGGCCAATATTTTTTTTAGGAGCTGCCAGGTATGGGCCAGTAGGCCTGCTGCAGTGTTCTTCCTCTATGTTCTTATGCCTGACACACAGTAAATGATCTTTGTGGAAAAAAAAAGCAGTCCCTGGGTATATTGCCTGTCACTGGCACTATACCTGAGACAGTTATGGCAGACCGTCATCATGACTTCAGGGAAGGTCGCGCAGGAGCTGATCTGCCAAACCTCTCTTGGAACTTCTGGGAACCTGTGTCTGGTAGCTAAAACACAAGCACATTAGTGATTGTTTTTAATTTACTGCCAGAATTTTAACTGAATCAGTTGTGGTGTAACTCAGTGCAAATAATGAACTCTAACTTACAGAGCAACCCTGCCACCCCTTAGCTTGGTTTTCGGCCTTGTGTAGGCAGATTGTAACTTACTGCTAGGCTTTTATTACTGGGCTTTAAATAATATTACAAGGACCACAATGAAAACAAGTCATTTTGATTTTTTGGGGTTTATCCTGGGTAATTTACATATAAGTATTATGTATAATTGTACTTAGGTGGATGTGGCATGCTAAGAGTAAATTACTTTTTATTTGGCGTATGTCGCACACCCATGCATGCCCTCCCCACCAGCGAACCAGGTGCTACGGGTATAATGAGCAGGGCCCCTCATTATTTTAGTACACAAATAACCCGCACAAAGAAGAGGGGAGTCTACGACGACGTTTCGGTCCTACTTTGACCATTTACAAAGTCATGAAACGTCGTCGTAGGCTCCTCTCTTCTATATGCGGGTTATTTGTGTATCGTTCCAGTCACGGTGTTGTGCCTTTTTTTGTTATTCTAGTACGTTTGTTCAAGTCAACCAGTCACAAGCAAGCCCACCAAGCGATGTGGTACACATTTGAATCAACTTTAGCAGACTTACCTCCCAGTCTGGTCGAAGGGGCGGTTCTTACCGTGTCTCTTGCTTGCAGAATTGCCTTTCCTTACACATCCTCTGTAAATATTGTACATATTATTGGTTGACGTTTGCTGAAGGAAATATAAGTATTTACTCTCTGCTTCCTCATGCTGGTTCCTGGTTTCTGCTTTGGTTATCGTGCTACAACCAGGTGTGCAGGCCACTAGACTATACGTGTTCGTAATAGTGATTCCATGAGATAGAATGAAATGCGCCTTTAGTTAAGAGATCACGTCATAGTCTTGAGTGGTGAAGTGAATCGACTCTTCATGTTCCATCATATTTTTCCCGGACATAACGTTGGACAGATGAAATCTCTGGCCCACATCTAGCTCCAACTTCATCCCGCTTATTGTTTGTATGTTTAATAAAAATACTGCCAGGGAAGGTTTTTAACAGGTAGGTAATAACTCGCAGTTTGTAAATGAAGGAAATTGTGTAGCTAAACGATAACTAGTGATAGTAAGTAGGCTTGTTTAGCCGCAGGTACTTAGGATAACCCCCCAAAAAGTCAGTGGCCTTTGATTTTTGAGAGTGAATAAGGAGGGGGGAGGGGTTACAAGGACCGGTAGCTTGATCGCTAGCGCACTCAGCTCACACTGACGTCTGGAGATCTAATCCCCGGTACGGTTGGAAAACATTAGGGACGTGTTTCATTAAGACACCTGTTGTCCATGTTCACCCATCAGTATAAAATGGGTACCTGGGTGTTAATCGACTGTTGTGGGTCGCATCCTGTAACAAATCTGACCTAATTTGCCCCGAAATGCTCTGCATAACAAGCGGCTTTCTATATAGTAGTATGTCACTGATATCAGCTAGGTCTGTATACCTTGTACATGTACTTGTATAAATGAAGATATTATTATACTAGTAGTGGTGATGGCGTCCCATTGGTAAAAAGCTGAGTTATCCACCAAAACGTCCAGTTTTCTATGGACACTGGTTACCTTGTTCAAGCACAACTACGCTATTATGTTAGTCAGCCCTGGTGACTGTGTCGAGATGAACACAACGGTAGTTTAGCCCTGTGTAGTCCAACATAATGAGTGGGACCTGCCACTATTTGTCATTCTCGAGAAATTAGAGTCGGTTTCTGAAGTTGATACCGCTAGTTTAACTGTGAACTTCATGTCTTATCATGTGGACAGCAGCAGCAAGTAGGTAAGTACAAATTAGTAAGTTTATTTACGCACAGGTACACATAAGTACAGTTATCATACATAGTGTAAATTACCTAGAATGACCCCCATTGGGATCCTTTAAATGTATATTTCCATTGGTAGTTAATTGTACACCCAAAGTATATAACAAATAATAAAAGGCACAATACCGTGACTGGAACGATACACAAATAACCCGCACATATGTGATGAATGGTTTGAAAAACCGACAAGTTGATGATTGAGACACTTATGCAACATATGGGAATCTATTCAGGAAACGTTTCGCCACACAGTGGCTTCATCAGTCCAATACAAAGTAGAAAGGCGTAAGGAGAAGAGGAATTTGAGGTAATCAGTCCCTCAGCCTGGAAGGACTGAACACATCGACTCCAGGCTGAGGGACTGATTACTTCAAACTCCTCCTCTCCTTACGCCTTTCTACTTTGTATTGGACTGATGAAGCCACTGTGTGGCGAAACGTTTCCTGAATAAAGATTCCCATATATTGCATAAGTGTCTCAATCTTCAACCCGCACATAGAAGAGAGGAGCTTACGACGACGTTTCGGTCCGACTTGGACCATTTACAAAGTCACACTAACGAGAAGTAGAGCAGGACTGGTATATATAGGCAGGAAGAGGTAGTGGTGGTGGTGGTAGTAGTAGTAGTAGTAGTAGTAGTAGTAGTGGAAGTAGTAGTAGTAGTGGTAGTAGTAGTAGTAGTAGTAGTAGTGGTAGTGGTGGTAGTGGTAGTAGTAGTAGTAGTGGAAGTAGTAGTAGTAGTAGTAGTAGTAGTAGTAGTGGTAGTAGTAGTAGTGGGGAATTAAGGAGGAGGAGCCAGTCAAATACAAAGAAAGGGGAGCACTGCAAGGGAGCTAGGTGCCCACAAGGGAGCTAGGTGCCCACAGAGGGAGAGCAAGTACACAGAGGTGGGAAAGAAGAGGAAGTGATGAAATAAATAATGAAGGAACAGAAACACGAGATAGAAGAAAGACAACCCAGAGGAGAAAAAAGGAAAGAGGAAAGGGGAAGAGGGAGAAGAAGAAAAAATGAGGAATCAGGTTAGGTCACGAGTGTTGTGAAGTTTGGGACATTTTACAATGTAGTGGGAGAGGAAGGCATCTACAGAGACGAAGCCAGGACTATGATTAATACAAGGAAAGTTGTGTATTAGAGAGGATTCAACTAGACGGCGACTGTTAAAGTTGGAAGTAGGGAAGACAGTTTTAGCACAAGACCAGTTAATAGGATGGTTGTGATCTCTGACGTGACAGAAAAGAGCATTGTAGTGTCGGCAAGCCTAACACTATTTTTGTGCTCCCTAAGTCTGTCAGAAAGAGATCGACCAGTTTCTCCGAAGTATTGAAGAGGACAGGAGGAACAAGAAATAGAGTAGACACCAGGAACATCTGTAGAGGGAGGAGAG